CACACGACACACACACCACACACACACACAAACACACACACACACACACACACACACACACACACACACACACACACACACACACACACACACACACACACACACACACACACACACACATAACACACGTTTTTATTTTTAGATGACAGTAAATAGGTTAGAATGTATTTATCATACCGTTTTAGAATACATCATTCTGTAACATTATTAGCATTCAACACGAGGAAAGCTGTTGCTAAAAGGCTGGAAAGTGAGAGGATCACCAAAGTGGAGGATCCGTTGTTATCCATCCTATAGTTTTCAAGATAATTCACTCAAGTATATAAACCTTGTTGTGGCCTTAGAGACAAAGTGAAAGGTTAATCAATGCATTGTCTGAAACCCATGAATATTANNAAAAAATGCTTTCAACGCTTCGCCCATTCACTTCAATGGGGTCACGTAGAAGATTTGTAATCTTCGCCGAACTGCATTGTGGGGAGCATGGCATGGCTTTGCAAGCATCACGAGCATCTATCGACTTTTGAGGCTCGATGCTTGGCATCAGCCAATCAAATCCCGTTTATGCAAATCCCGCCAGTGCAAGCGCTAGCCAATCAAACCGCGTGCAAGCTGGGAGAGCCAGACCGCAGTTCATTTCCTCATATTCCAAACGAGAAATTACGGTAGCAAATCACCCGGTTCTTTACGACCAGAACTATTTACCGGGATACAAACCGGAGGAACCAGGCATGGAGGGAGGTGGCAGAGACAGAGGGTGAAACTGGTAGGTTTTCGCCTGTTTGGGGAGTTTATATCCAGTTTACTTCGTTTTAAGATTGCTATTGCTTTGTATGTCGGGGGCGGGAGATTCATGTGATTGGTTGTTGGTCGCGTTGCTCGCAAAAAATCGCCAAGCTTCAGATACGCCCAGCTTCAAGATTTTTTGATGCCTGTAGTGTAGACGGGCCGTAAAAGGCTGGAAAGTGAGAGGATCACCAAAGTTAATACATTTTATCCTGCGGGTTGGATAAACCTTTTTTCCGTAGTTATCCATCCTATAGTTTTCAAGATAATTCACTCAAGTATATAAACCTTGTGGTGGCCTTAGAGAAAAAGTGAAAGGTTAATCAATGCATTGTCTGAGACCCATGAATATTACTTTTTGAAAATGAAAGCATGTAAACATGTCACAAAAGAGACACTAAATACAAATATGAACCTGAAAATGAGCATTATACTATATCCTCTTAATAAACTGTTACTATCATTACAGTTATGCCTCAGCTATTTCATTTGTTGAAACAAACCAGATGAATATTTGTTTTTCACCATGTTTATCACAGAAGTAAAACATTTGAAATAATCCTTGCTTACCATAAAAAAAAAACAGTAATGTTGATGTATCGTGTATTTAGATTCATGGCTGTAGACTACCGTTGTCGTTGTAAGTAGAGAATCAATCACTGATGATCAAGTGAGACACACTTTATTTCACTGCCACCAAGCGCATATGGTTGTCAAATGTTGTTAATCTCAAGAGTAAGCAATTAAACCCTTCTTAGGTCACTTCTTAGAGAACTCTTATCTTATGTTTTAAATAAGTCAGACACACACTTGCACTGCTTGCACACACTCATTCACACAAAGGTTCTTAATCCACATTCCATATTGTAGAATATTTTTTAAATGTTGTGGACAGCAGCACATGACTGTAGTCAAAGTATACATACACTGAACAAAAATATAAACGCAACACTTTTGTTTTTGCTCCCATTTTTCATGAGATGAACTCAAAGATCTAAAACATTTTCTATATACACAAAATAACCATTTCTCTCAAATATTGTTCACAAATCTGAAAAAATCTGTGATTGTGAGCACTTCTCCTTTGCCGAGATAATCCATCCCACCTCACAGGTGTGGCATATCAAGATGCTGATTAGACAGCATGATTATTGCGCAGGTGTGCCTTAGGCTGGCAACAATAAAAGGCCACTCTAAAACGTGCATTTTTGCTTTGGGGGAAATGGTTATTTTGTGTATGTAGAAAATGTTCATCTCATGAAAAATGGGAGCAAAAACAAAAGGTTTGCGTTTATATTTTTGTTCAGTGTATGATCAGAAGCAAATTAGGTCTGAAAATGCAGGCCCTAAAACATGCATTTCAGTAGTGATATGTAACAAATAACATCTACTCAAGTACTTACTACTCAGCATGAAAATATTTCAGTAGAACCCATACTGAAAATCACTACATATACTACATTTGTACATAATACCAATTTTACTATCCATGT